CACATACATATTAGTAAATAAATAATTAATCGTCATCTATTACGAAACAACATAAATAGTTATTAATTTGGTGGCAGGGTTTTATGTGGATGGCATTTAGCTATCCATAGATTTGGCTTCATGCTCATCCAGCATTGATTATCTGTGACTGCTGTACGTCTTGAAGACACGCGGCATGCTGCTGCTGCTGCTACTGCCGCCGGTGCTGCTGCTGCTGGTTGTGGTGTTTGTGCTGCTGCTGCTGTTGCTGCTGCTATTAGTGTTGTTGTTGCTCACGGCCGTGCTGCTGGCCGCCTCCTGCGCCTGCTGGTGCTGTTGATGATGATGATGATGCGTCGTCGTCTCCAGATTGAGTGGCATCGGCATCGTATGATCCTCATCAGCATGCTCATAGATATAATCACGCTTCTTGAAGTTGTCAATGATCTTCTTGGTGGACTTCATGTGCGCCACAAAGGCGGCCTCCAACTGTAGCAATTCAACAAAATCATTTATATAGATGGATATACATATGGATATGGGAATAGGCTTTACGTACACTGGATGTCAGATTCATAAAGGTGTGATATTTCTCCAGGACGCCAATGATCTCCTTAAAGCTATTGCCTCGCAGTTGTTGTCTCACAATTGTTTCGTTCTGCTCATTGTCCGTGATCAGGTTGCCGATTAATATCGCCGCATAGCTGCCCTTGAGCGTGTGCTCCATGTGATGTCCAGCGCGTTGCACAACTGTAAATTGTTACATAAATTAAATTAGACTYATATAGACATACATATAAAATATAAATATATAATCTACATCGACACCTATTTATCTCTCAATCTGCACTTGCGTAAACTTTCTTGTTTATATATCTTCCTTCTCTTTCTCTATATTTCTCTCTCTCTCTATCTTTCTTAGCTAAGCTTTTCCGCTTATTCAGAACTGTCTCCATTTCCAATGAATTGTTTTATTTACCTCCCACCTCAAATAACTTATTCTTTGGTAAATATTCAAAGTCTATTTCTTTGTAAATCAATATATAAATCAATATATCTTGGCCTGGCTTCAATTACCAGCTCTGCCCAGCTGGCTGAGTGGAATGTAACTGAGACACTCAAATTTCAACGCATATGGATGATGTTTACGCAGAATTTCATATTCCCGGACAGCGAATCAATATAAACAAATGGACAGCTTGCTGGCTGATATTGAATATTGAATGAGAGAAACTTGATTCCCGCCTGTCGATCGGTAAGAAACTTACGATTGTTGACCGTCTCCTCGACCTCCTCCTGCTTCTTTTTGCTCTTCTCGTTGCTCTCCAGGAAGGCATCCGTGTTCTTCTCCACCAACCTGCAAGCGAACGAGAATTAGTTGATGAACAAATCAGATTATGGACCTTCTCACGCACCTGGCTAGCTCCTCACACTTGTAGAAGTACTCGAGCAGCGCCTGCACCGCGCTGACGGCCAGATCACCAGGCGTTGGATTGTCCGCCACGTATTCGGCAGGCGCAGTCGCCTGCATCAGAGTGGCGCGATTTGACGGCGTGTGCATGCACAAGTTAATCAGCAGGGTGAGCACCTGGAGGAGACACAAATGACAGATGAGAATATGACTATGCTAATGGGAATATGACGAGGCATGGGATGCAGCGTATGACTGGCTAGTGTGACTCACCAAAATGCTCAGCTCGAAGACGCAGCGATCCGGAATGTAGTTGGATGCGAGTAGCAGCAGATGGAAGCTCGTCTCGATGACATCGCTCCGTTTACCCAGCAGCTCGGCGCCCAGCGAGGGCTGCGCCTCGTTGAACGTGTGCGTCAGATTGATGAGCACCTTCATGACGGGTATCAGGAGCTCACGCATCGCCACGCCCGGATGCTCCTTGCTGCTGCTCTGCTCCGCTGTCGACGGATGCAGCAGCAGCTGTCGGTCGCAGAGGCGATAGAGGAAGCACAGTGTGTCCACGGCCCGTCCGTTGGCATAGGTGAGCATATACCGTTGGTTCGCCTCGTTGTGCTGCGTCACGTTCTCGAGCACCCGCAGACAGCGCGCCACCGTTTGCATATTGTCGAGCAGCGCCGGCTCCCAGTTGACCAGTGCCATGTCTTTTGCCGCTGTCTCAATCACCGGATCGCAGAAGTTCGAGATTGTCTTGATGATGTGCTCCAGGCCGCCCAGCTTGCGCAGATCCTCCTTGAACCATTCGCCCGCACGTTTCGATGTCAGCGAGAGCAGCGTCTCCATGGCCAAAGTGCCCACCGTAATGGACTCCACGTTCAGGTGAGTGCCCTTGCCCTGCGCCTTGATCTCCTCGCACAGCTCGCGCACCTTCTGCTTGTTGCGCTCGTAGATGGGTCGATCTGTGTGCGCGGCCACGCCCACACCTTCAGCCTCCAGCAAATTGATCATCAGCTCGAGTGAGTCCCGATCCAGATCCATGTTGAGGCCCTCCTGTGAGAGTATGTACATAATGGCCGAGGTGCACAGACCCAGGCTCAGATCCTGGTTGGCATCGGAGAGCGCCTGCAAGGGATTACACAAAGAAAGAGAGAGAGAGAGAGAGAGGGAGTCAGACTAGCTATTGGCTTGCATTGAGAACTTTTCCCACACTCACCTTGAAGAACTTGGTGACAACGCCGTGGGCGCGCACATGCATGCGGAAGGCGGGCGTCATGCATTTGGTGGCCAGCTGCAGGGCGGACAGACAGCGGGTGGGCAGCGGATTGTGCGGCTGCAGTGCGTCCAGTATGTACTCCACATCGTCGTACATCTCCTGGTACTCGCCAATCTCCTGTATCTGGTGCGCAGTCTTCACATTCCGCACCACGGTATAGTACTCCTTTGTCTTACGGTCCACCCGGAGACCCGTGCGATCGCCAGCTCCGCCGCCGGCTGCTCCACTGCTGCCATTGCCACTGCCGGCACCACCGCCGCTGCCCTCATCCGCGCTCGGCTCCATATCCATGTCGAAGGCGTCGCCAGATGTCGCTGCCAAGGATTGAGCATTGTGCTGCGGCTTGGCCAGTCGGCTCAGCTTGCCCAGGGCGGGGCTCTCGCCGCGCAGGGCGGAGCTGCTGCAGGTATTGTTGTTGGAGTTGCTGTCGCCAAAGTCGCCGTAGATGGCATCGATGGCTGCCGCCTTGCCGGCAGCCGAGCCGTCAGCCTTGGCACCGACGCCGCCCGCTGCTGTCGAGGCGGACGCATTGCTCGCATCGCTGCCCGTGCCGGCGCCATTGGCCTCCAGCGCCGCATCCCAGCTGTGCTTGTACAGCGCCCGCTTGGCCACCGTCGCCTGCTCAGCCTGGTCTGAGGGCACCAGCGCCCGGCTCTTGAATATGCTGCCCTTCTTCTTCGAGATGACCAGCTTGACGGCGCCGCGTTGCGTCTCCTCGCTGCTGCTGACATTGGTGACGCTGACGCTACTCGCGGTTGGCTCTGCCCCACCGGCGGCGGCCGTGGCAGCAGCAGCAGCGGCTGCAGCAGCGGCCGCTCCACCCGGCATCTGGTTGTCCAGCGTGATGGTGCGCTTGAACTTGTCCTTGAATTTGAAGTCACGCGGCGGCGGCGACGAGGAGGAGCCATCGTGCTGCATGGAGGACCCATTCGAGGTGTTCGACAGCTCGTCCATGCCGGGATCCGGTTCCGCGTCCCCATCCAGCTCTGTGTGCGGCACCTTGGCCGGCGTTGGCTGCGCCTCGCTCAGTTCCTGGCTCAGCTGCTCCGCCTCCGACGTTTCGGCATGCTGCAGCAACTGTGTCACCTGCTGATTCTTGCGCTTGCGCCCGTAGCTGCGCGTGCCCGCAACACCGCCAGCATTGGAGCCACCATTGTCGGTGGCGCGACTGGCCTCAGCCTTCGCCGACAGATTCGCAGCAATCTTGTTGATGTTGTTGTTGTTGTTGTTGTTGCTGCTGCTGTTGTTGTTGTTGCTGCTGGCTAAATTGTTGTTGATGGCGCGCGCTGAGGCACGTCCACGTCGCGGCACTGCCTCATTGGCCGACGCCTCGACTGCCTCCGCCAAAGCCTTCTCTGGCGACTCAGCCAATTCCGTGCCCTCAGCTGTTGCAGCTGCCTCCAGTCGCCGGCTGCCACGCGCCCGTGTCGCACGCTTCGTGGGCGAGGTCGTAGTCGTGGTGGTGGCCGTCGTGGATGTGGGCGATGCCTCTGTGGGCTTGGCGCGCGCTCTCGTGCGCGTCTCCGTCGGCGCCGTGGCCTCTGCCGCATTATTGTTGGCCTTGCCACGCGCACGTCCTCGCGTTGTGCGTTTTGGCTGCTTGGACTCGGCTGGAGCCGAGGCCGTATCATCGGCGCCATTGAGCCGCGGCACCGCGTCGCCACGCAGAACCGCCAATATGTCCTGCTGCAGCGGCTGCTCCACGAGCGGCAGATGACCGTCCATTTGGTCTGTGCCTCCTGCAGCCGCGATTGCTGTTGTGGCGGCTGATGCTGCTGCTGTCGCTGCTCCAGCTCCAGTTCCGCCAGCATTGGTGCCATCCATGGTCATCATCATGGACTCCAGGCGCGACTCAATGTCCGACGGCGGCGCCACCAGCGACGAGTGCTGGCTGGTCTCCAGGTCGCTAGTGATGACACTCGAGCCGCGACTGCGTATCACACAGCTGTCCTCCTGCACGGCCTGCGCCAGCAGCTGGGGCGTGCTGTTGCCCTTGGATGAGATGCTGCCCAGCACCGAGGACTGCGAGTCGAAGTCGTGATCCGAGCGTGTCGTCGGCGATATGACCGAGCCCCGATGCAGTTGCTGCTGCAACTGCTGCTGCTGTTGCTGCTGGTGTTGCTCGTTCGCCAGCGCCAGATGCGGTGAGGGCGTCTTGAACTCGGAGCTCTGAGCCAGTTCGCTGGCCGTGGAGGCTGTCACTGGCTGAGTGGGCTGCACCTGTTCGACTAGCTGGGCGTGCTTGAGGTGTTTGTGCTTTTTGCTTTTGGATTTCTTTTCGCTGCGCGACTCCTCGCCGGCGGCTTTGGCAGCTGCGGCGGCGGCTGCTTTGGCAATTGCGTTCCGAATGACGTCCGTTTTGATGATCAGTTTCAGCCGTTCCTTGGGCGGTTTGTCTGGTGAGATTTTCACTGTGCAATAGTTAATTTCAGGTGGCTCCTCTTCTTCCTCTTCGTCCTCCTCCTCCTCCTCTTGCTCGCCCTCCTGCTCGTCGTCGTCGTTGTTGCTAGCGCCGCTGCTGCTATTGTTGTTGTCAACCGCTGACTGCGCTAAGGATTCCCTGTTACCGCCCGCTATTCCGTCGTTGTCGTCCTTCCCTGACTTGGCCGGCGGCTGTCGCAGAGGTTTCACAGTGATTTTTGGTGCAGGAACTATAGCATCGATTGGATGATCATGCAGCGCATCGTTGGGCGTCTCGTATGACATGTGCTGCTGGGCAGGCGAACAATTTGGCGGCTCCTCGCTGTCCGTGCTGACTAGACGTGAGGTGCCCTGCAATGGAGAAGGCTAAATGAATCTACTGTTGATAGCCAAACATTTCTCTCTCTCCAGCTGTCTCTTTCTATTCCTCCTACTCTCTGTGTTTGTCCCTGCCTATGTAGGATAGTTGATAGTTTTTGTTTTTTTTTTATTTCAGCCGTAATTAACACTTGGCTAACGGCTGCGACAACTGTCGCACAACACACACAAACGGCTACTGTGCCCAAGCGGCGGCCGCAGTCAAATGAAAACGCTAAGAAATAAACTGAACGAACGAAAAAAAAGAAAAGAAACAGAAACTCAAGAAAAGAAATGAAAAAAAAAACTCCGTTTAATGTAAAAGCGCGCGTAATTTAACACTGTGCTGCTTGTTGTTGTTATTGTTGTCGCTTTCTCTTTCCCACACACAGAGCGCTTCAAGCCGACCAACAATATGGGGTTGAGTGCGTTAGTATAAGTGCATGTGTGTCTGTGAGCGCGATGAGTGCGAACGACTAAGCGAATGAGTGAACGCGTGAGTAAGCGAGAGACAGAGAGGAATCTCCTCTCACTGAGCGCGTCACTCGTGCGCGCTCAGCTCAACGCACAGTGGTTGATCAGACGACAAAAATGTGTCAACTCAGCACAAATGCAAATCAGCTAACTTTGGGTAATTGGAGAATCAGCGAATTGTCATTTGGATTATCCAATTGATCCATAAACAAAATATACTAGACTCTGCACTCTACTTAGATAATGGCTCGTTATGGAATATTCCTTATCAAACTCTCTTAGCGTAGATAAGAGCACTTCTGATTGTAAAAAAATATATATGGTAGATTTTCAATCGATTTCGTGAATTCAAATTGTCAAAATCATACCAAAGAAAGTAATCGAATTATTACCCTAAACTAAATAGTACGAATTTGATTTTTGAAAATAATCTATGGGGAAAACGACTTGAAATTTAAATTCTGAAGGCTTACTTATTTGTTAATTTAAAGCAGTGTTCCTATTAATTATTGGACAAAATKACATTATCATATATTATCTATCTATATAAATCATCATTTTGTCAGTATCATCTATTTCCCTTATGAATTCTTTCAGTCATCTATCACCCTACACATATCATATTTATCCATCCATCTGTCTACATATTTACATATCTGCCTATTGATCTATAAATCGATTATTATTTATCATTCTATGTGAATATGTGAATAATATATAAATCTTTCAATACATATATCCATTATACAGCCATATATAAATATATGTATATATCTGCCTCAATCAATTTGAGAGTCTATATAAGATCACTATAATAATATCTCAAGTATTGAGTATTTTTATAATCTAACATACAGATATAAAACTATAAAAAAATTTTCATCTGTCTATATCCTATATCTCAAATGTATATGAAGCTGTATATATATATATCAGAGTAAATCTTCGATTAGCCGTGGTTAAGTTTTTCTTCCTAAGCTTTCCCAATACAAATCGAATCTTAAAGCCACAGCAACTCACTTTGGAAATGCGTAGAACAATTGGCGGATGCTCGGGCGTTCGGGAAGCACTAGACGAGGCAGATGGCACTGTGGAAGCAGAGGATGCTGCGGCTGCTGCTCCTCCTGCGGAGCCAATAGCTGCTACACTGGGCGCCGTCGTGGGCGGAGGAAGCGATGGATTGACATCCGCCACTGCAGCTGCCCCGGCGGGGAGTGCTGTGGACACCGATGCCAATGCAGGGGTGGCAATCTCATGTGATGCTGTTGTCGTTTCGGGCGCTCGCGTTTTGGGAATGATCAGATCCTTGATGGGCGTGGGATAGCGCTCGTCCTCATCCACTTCGCAGTAGTTGACCGCTTTGCGAGCACGTCCCAAAATCCGTGACGGCGGCGCCTCTGGCTTTAGTTTCTTTTCCTCCTTCAGCTTCTTTTTCTTGCCCTTGGGCTCGGCTGCGGGCGATGCACCGGTAGCTGTGTCCATATGCTCGGCATCTAGGGCCAGATTGTCGCCCAGTTCGGCGGCGCTAAACGCACCGGGCGTTAGAGCGGCCGTCGCCGTAGTTGCCGCTGCCGCTGCCTTCTTCTTGGGCGACTTTCGCTTCCGCTCTGCGGAGTTGCCTTTCGCCAGCTTCAGCTTGATGGGCTCCCGTGTGGGCGTCATGTGTATCGCCGTCGATGCCTGATCCCGCATCGGCGACGTGCCGGCCACACAATGCGGCAGCTGTTGTATAATCTGTGCTATCACCTCCGGCGGCGCCGTGTTGCGAGATTTGAAGAACTTCTTCGGCTTTGGTGGCTCCGGCACCGACACGGACATATCATTCGGATCGTGATCGTGCGTGGAGGCCGGACTCTGAGCAGGACTCGCGGCGGCAGCAGCAGCCGCAGCCGCTGCTGCCATCGGATGCAGAGCGGAGAGTGTGTAGGTGCGGGTCGAGGTGAAGCCCATCTTGCCCCATTTGCCAACGGTGCCCACGGAGCGGGCAACTGTTGGCCGATTTGTGTTCTCCTTCTCCTTGCAGAGCGAGTCCAGCGGCACCACAATGTTCTTGCCCCAGCGCGACATCTTGACCAGATGTCAGTCGTTCAGCTAGCGTACTTCAATTCGAGTTTCGCCTGTGATTCAATTTGTTGTTTACACTTCTTCTATGCGATGGTTGGCGCGCGTGGCCGTTTGATGGCAATTGCAACAATTACACTGCAAGTGGAAGATTGGAATCATTAGAAATGTAATCACTCAATATCACTTGTCAAACTGCAGTTAACTCTTCATTTAATTTACTGAAGTATTGCAAAGGAAGCACTTTTAAGCGGAGCTTCCCGCAGCAGCAGCAGCAAATGTCAAGAGGCAACAACAACAAAACACAACAAATTAACTGCCGTAAGCATAGCATGCGTGCGAGCGAGCACACACTAGTGTGTGTCATTGCGCGCACACTGTGCGAGCGCGAGCGATTTACCATTTTTATTATTGCCAAAAAGAAAATAGTAAAAAAAAAMAAAAAAAAAAAAAAAAGAAGAGAGAAATACGCACACACTCACAAATGGCAAAAACAAATCAATGCACATTCAATTTATTTGTTGCACTTGTTATTTGGTTTGTATCTTGATTTTCCTCAAACTGTACAAATTGTATTGATGCTCTGCTTCATGCTCACCTGAAACAAAACATTTGTGTTGCAGCCAATGTTTGTTGTTTGTTGTTGTTGCTGTTGTGCTGCGTTTATTGCGTGAATGCATGTGCGTGCGTGTGTATGCATGCATATGTGTGCACGAAAATCTCTGTTGCTCTGTATCGTATGTATGTATGTGTGCGAGCAGGAATGCAATAAAACAGAAACAGACAGAAACGTCGTCGTTCGCTTATTGGCGCAATTTTGTGTTGCACGCGCGAATTTTTTTTGCCGTTCAGCTAGTTTTCGCGTTTTTGAACGCACTTGTATCAGATCAACAGAATTGTTATTATATTAACTAACGCACTATTGCCGCAGGCTGCTTATTTTGCATAGTTAGTGGCAATTGCATGTTTTTTGTTGCACACATTTTCCACCACTTTTAACGCAGCGCATACGAAAATCGCAACGAATCAGGTACAACAACAGTTACAGATTATATACATACAAATCGCTGAAACTATTGCACATTGCGAATACGCGCTCGATTGCGTTGGTAATTGTATGTTTGCCGAATTGTTAAAGCAATTGAAAATCTCGCAAAACACACAAAAATATTTAATTTTTTCTTCGCAACTACGTTTTAGAGTGACCAAATTTTGTTTGCGTTGTTCAGCTTGACATTCACCACGAACGACACAGTGTTGTCTTTTATTGTATTACGTGACTCTTTTTTGCGTTTCGCGCTTCTCAATAAGCGCTAACGTTGCGCACTTTGCGTTACGTTGCGCATGTTGCCCTGCCAACTTTCAGTGAACACAAATACGCGCTCAGCCTTCATACTCGCAGCCAACTTCAAGCTTAGGCGTAGCCAACTTCAAGTAAGCGCCAGATTTAAATTGCTTGCATTTATTTGGATATTGATTAAAAATTTTAATTTCATGGTTTATTAATGAGCTTAATGTTATTGGCAACACTCTGCTGACCATTTACTATATAAGCCAATGGATCATCTTTGCTAGACTCCATCAAATGCTCGCACGATGTTTGGTTGATGGCAAACATGAAAGATAAGTCAATATCGTATCTTGGCAATTTCTCTCGCAAAAATGTTATCACATTATCGCCCAGTGTTGGTTGTCGCGACAACAACAATGCGGATAAATAGCGTGGATGCTTTTTCTTCTCGGCACAGTGCATAATCAGGCCCCAATTTTTATAGTCCGTGTCCAGTACATAGGTATTATAGATGCCCTCATCTATGCAGGATAAACATTTATTAAGCATATATATTCGCCTTGATTTCGATCTTACATATATCCTCAGTGTGCATCCAGTGACCGGGCGTGCCAAAGTCCGGTATTAGCCATGTGATGTTGCCCTGTAGTTTCTCGCGCAGCGGATCCTCCGCATAGATGTAGCTAAAATTCATGGTTATCTGCAAGTGTAATTGGACGTATCACTATCACTCTATCGGACATTGCACCTGTATATCTCTCTATCCTAGGTATAGATCTTAGGCATCAACCAATCAAGAAACCAGTCTGCAGTCAATTCTTCTTCTTGCACCTTGAGCTGTTGACTATCCGTCAATCAGTCAGTCAATCAATAGCTGTTCTTAATAATATTAATCATCCACCGTGCTGTCAGTCAGTGTAACAGTTAGTCAATCAACTTTTCTTAAATCATCTCAAATGGAATATGTATATGATTTCTTCGCCCATCAGTCAGTCAGTCAGTCAATCAATGCTTCATAATATATAATAACTTTCCCTTTAGGCTAGCCTGTTTGTATACTGCTGCTTATGCAACCCAGTCAATCAATCAATCAATCACTGCTATCTCATTCGACTCGTACTCACGTGCTGATCCTCACTGGAGAAGGCGAAATTACTGCGCATACACGCATACTCGGGCAGCTCCTCGGTGGATGCGTAATATTGAACCACATGCCAATTGCCCATCATTAGCTCCAGATCAAAGTTGCGTATGGCGCGCACCTGTCGGTGGGTGGGGATGGGAAAATCATGAGAGTAACAGTGTAGGTGTGTGCATGAGTGTGTGTGCGTGTGGATGTGTGTAGAATGCACTTGTAGAAAGCTAACACATAAATATAAATCAGAATAACAACAGCAAAGATTCATTGAGGCAAATGTGCGTGCCAGCTGAAATTAAGCCACACACACATACACACACACAATCACACAAGTGTCTAGTTGCATGTCACTTTGTGCATTTGTTCAATTTGTATCTTTAGCTTTTGGCTGTGAGTTTTACAAGTGCAGCAAAAAAAAAAAAAAAGAAACTGATTGGCTAGCAGATACCCTGTATATAATTGAGAGTAAGTATATATTTCTATGTATATCCCTATCCCTATAGACGTCCTAGCTTCTCTAGCATCAACTGTCATTGCCATAGTTCACAGTAGCTCTGTTTAATATGAATTTGTATTATATGTATTGTCAATTGTTAATTTTGTATAAATCCGATTTAGAATAAAGATATACACATATCCCCACTTCAACGAACACGCAGCTTCAAAATTTCCAGGGTATAGAACAGAAATCGCCTGTCAAAGCTGCGACGCGACGCGGCCAATGGCGATGCCGTTGCTGACGTTGCTGCTGGCAGCGACAGCAACAGCAACAGCAACAGCGCTGGCAACGGCAACGTCGACTGCGACACGCGGTCCGTCAACTCAGGCACTTAGAAAGTGTGATTGATTTTGGCATCAGTGTGCGCCCATTTCTTTGCCCCCAGACACATTCTGAATGGGAGCCTGGCTGACTCGCATATTGATGAGAGAAGATACACACACACATACTCACACACTCTCACTTCATGGACATGCAAATGTTTGCTAAGCATTGCGACAAAAACTGAGCACTTTACGAATTTATAATGTTTTTTTTTTCTGTTCCAACAAATCTTTGTTCTATTTGCAATTGCTTTTGCTCCACTGTCAACTGTATTGTGTGGGCTGTGGGTGGGGCAGACTCACGTTTGGGCATTTTTTGCGCAGATCCGTGCGCTTCTTGCTGAGCGCCGTGTAGCTGTTAAACTTCAGCCAGGCCGCTGCACTGGGCAGTTCCGTTAGATCGAGGAGTAGCTGAAGCAGCAGCAATGGCAGCACTTGAGCCACCCGATGCCAGAGCAGCATGCTGATAGATAATATTGTGCGGATAAGGATAATTTGTGTTGCTCTCTATTATGACTGTTGTTGCTCTTCCTCTTCTTCTTATTGTTGTTTGGTTTTTATCCGTTTACTTAGAGACGTGCGCTGCCCTCAGCGTTGTGGCTGGCTGACTGGCGAACGGATGCCGCACAGCGGATTCACTCTTAACGGATAAGACGCCATGTACCAAGTACATACATAAATACACACATATTTACATACATAAGTACATATACAAATATTACACATAGTATTTATGTAGAGTTTTATTAAAATATTGCGCGTTCTTTTTGTCGTCGCAGCTTATTCATTATCGTAGCTGAAAATAAAACACATACACACACACACACATACATGCAAGCAAAGAGTTGCATGCCTTGAGTTGATGGCTTAGCTATTTTATAGCTAGATTTTTGTAGTGCTTATAGATTATGCAAATATTATTTTAATCAATTACATATAAAAACTAAATCAAATATATACCACAAAGGATAAAATACAGTCAGGCAGTGGCTGTTGGCTGAATTAATTTCAGATTCACTCAATTTGCATATCATTTCGCTTTTTTCTAGCTCACTCTCCTTGCGCTGCACTGATTCAATGAGCTAGCGGTACTTTTGCGAATCAGTAAGCAACAGTGGCGCACACACTGACAGCAAATCTGTGTGTGTGCGTGTTTAGTGTTGCAATGCGTCATTTTTTTCAACATGAATATTGATATTGGAATAAAACAAATGTCTTCCATCATCAGCCTCTTATCAGTTTCATAAATATGTATGTATGTTTGTTTGTATGTATGTATGTACGTATTTGTGTTTTTGTATATATGCATAGTTGTGATTCGTGCTATTTCCAATGGCGCTGGCACCACTGTGCACGCTTCTACTTTGGATTCCACAGACGGTGCAGAGCGACAAGTATTTTTGGCCGCATTTGGAATTTTGGCGAGCATATTTCCAGTTTAGTTTTATATGTGTTTTATTTTTACCAAATTGCGCTTTTTGCGCAGTTCCCTTTGACGGTTTCGTGAAGACCCTAGCAACAGGCTCAACATGCGTGTATAAACGCATAACTTTCTTTCTCTCTGATAAAGATGAAATCTGCTTCTCTGTTTTCTTCAGCTCTTTTCTTTTCTCTGTTGCCTTGCAGTGGTAGTTTTTTGGTGAGACCGTTGCAAAAGGTATGCAGCAAACAGGAAACACAAATTTATTCTTTACGATCGCGAGAACAGCCTTTGGACACTTTCTCTTTATTGCGAAACTCGTTGGGCGGCATTTTCACGCAGCCATCGCTGCCATTCGACATCCACAGTAAGAGCAGCAGCAACACCAACAATAGCATCCACATTCACTTGCACATCTCAGCACTTAGCATCCACATTTACAGTTGACAACGCTGGCAATTGCGTTCACGTTCGTGTTCTGCCGGCAGCAGGTGGGCCGGCAGCGCGCTGACGTCGAGGCTAGCAACGCGAGCAGCGTCTTCACTTTCCTTCTTCCGCCTGCGCTTGCGTTGCGTCTGCGTCTGCGTCTGCGTCTCTGTCTGGCTTGGTCAGTTGGTTAGGCAGTCAGTCAGTCAGTCAGTTAGCCAGTTAGTCAGTCAATTGGCCAGCCCAAATGCGGCGCAACTTTCGACGCGCTGCCGCTGCGATAGCGACAGCGACAGCGACTGCATCGCTTGGCCATGGCCACGGCCAGTTCCGGCTTTAGCGGTCATCTTACTGCAGATGCAGACGCAGACGCAAACGCAGACGTAGACGGACAGACAACTCAGCCAGGCGCAACGCACTTAAACGAAAAGCCGCTTTTTATGTGCGCCAAAAAGAAAGAAACAAGAAAAGAAAAGAGCGGCCAGCGCGAAAAAGGCGAGAAAACGACCAACGAGAAATGTCTCCTGATCGCACACGCACACACACACACACACACACACACATGCGCACGCATTTAAACGAATGAACAAACACACACGCACACACGCATAGGCGCTTACTTACACATGCCTCTGCGCTGAAGATGAATGAAAACAAGTCGATTTGATGCAACTGGTGGAGTGCTCGACTAGCCGCTGCCCTGTAGCTATGTATGATGATATAAATTGAGCGATATTTATTATATTATTATTT